CCCAACTTCATTCTTTTGCCTTTACTTTGTATTATTTAGGAAACTGATACAGTTTATGCTGGGGATATCTGCGCAATATTCGGCATTGACTGCCATTCTGGAGAAACATTTTGCAGTGATCCCAATATGCAGCCTTTCTGCGTAGGTCTTTTCTATACCAAACTGACTGATTCGTACCAAGTTGTTTAGGAGTCGATGCATATCCCGGAGCCAGTTGTTTCTATGTCAATCAAGCCAGTGAATAGGAAGGATGGGGACAATTTTATCAAAGTCGGAACTTCATGCATCAATAGCATCTACAAACCGTCATACTAATTAATACATTAAGGCCTTAACCCGTTTTACGAAAGAAGATCCTACTTTCCGTAAACACTACAATGCAGAAGCAAAAGAAACAATTGTTTCTGGCATGGGAGAGCTTCATTTAGTAATTTGTTTCTAATGTAAGCATTAATAGTCTGTAACACTTAGCAAGTTTTAGGAAATCTATTCTCAACGAATGAAAAATGAGTTCAATTGTCCTGTTCAGCTTGGAAAGCCTACTGTTGCTTATCGTGAAAGTATTGCGAGACCTTACAAGTTCGTTTACTTCATGCTTTTTTTTCCTATCTAATTTCAGCGTTTAGGTTCCACTATCGGCACAAGAAGCAAACCGGAGGTCAGGGTCAATTTGGAGAAATCGGTGGAATCATTGATCCTCTCCCTGCAGAAAAGTAACGCTGCTGCTGTTTCATTTTCGCGATCTTCTCTAGCTCTTTCATTTTAGAAATACTGAAGTTGTATTCACTGATGAAACTTTTGGAAATGACATCCCAAAGAGCCTTTTGCCTGCACTCAAGAAGGTATATATTAATCCATTTATCAGTATTGTCTTTTGCCAGCAGTCAGTTCAGCACCAACGGCGTAAGTTTTGCTGTTTCGAGCTAATGGGAGAAGCCACAATGCGATGCAGTTGTGGTATATTAGTTGTTGCAGATCATGTTTTTATCTCAGATAAGATTGCTCCTTTTACACGTTGGATGAATTGCGCATAAATCTTTGGGGATAGTCCTGGTACAACAGGGCTTGGTAAGGACTGTGTTTGGAAAATGAAAGTATTATATTGGAAATCCGAGATATCTGAGTTATCATTGGGAAAATCTGTCGGTGTATGCTTACAAGGGATGATATTTTTGTGATCTAGCCATTATAGATGGGATTTAAACGGTTGAAGAAGATTTGAGACCTTTGATCCACCTTCCATATATGCGAAGTGGGTCTCAAGAATCATTTCTGGGCTTGAATAAAGAAATCAGTCGATATAAGTAGTCCTAGTTAAGTTGTGTGGTAAATATGACTTTGTGAAGCAGGTGGCGCAGATTTTAAATCCTGTCACTAGTTTGTGGTTCAAGCCTTGTGTGAAACAAGATACACGCACGTTTTTAATTCAAAATTAAGTAGATATGAACCTGAGTTGCATCTATAACTATGAAAATATCCTGTCTGATAAGAACCAATACATGACAAGAAATCTTGCTGGGAAAAAATGCCTTGTTTTGGAGGCATTAGGAGTTGAATCCTTCTGGTATATAACTGTACTCTTACTCATTACTAAAATCCATGCGGTTCCTTTACCCAAGTCTGTAAAAGTTTAAAATTTTTTTTCGGAGGTTCGCAGGAAAGCGGTGTCTGCCTTAAATCTTCTTCAGCCATCGACTCATCTAGAAGGACTGACTGTTCATCCATTGTGAGCTGCGCGATGGCATGCGCGCATCAGAATCACTGGCAAAGCTGCGAACTTATACATTGTTATGGTTCATAGATCAGTTAGAGTATGTTTTTCTGTAACCCAACGTTATCAGAAAGCCCTTTAGCATATTTCCCTTTAAGCTGGTCCTTGCATGAATCTCGTTTCACCATGTCAGAAATGTCATACACTGCTGGCAGATTTCGTGTTCAAGTTATCTGGCCGCCGTTAACTACAAAGCACACGCTTTTTAATGCGCAACTTCACCTGGCTCTGAAGAGCCTTCATTTCGTTGCTAGATCTTTGATTTCATAGTTTCGTTGCCAGATTGAGTAACAGTGCTATTTGCAAAAACGTATTTTTACAATGCCTATATCATGAAGTTGTAACATGGAGCGCACTAACGAGTTTTTTGACACTATGAGTTTTTCGAATGCCTTACTGCTAGCAAACCTCGTACTCAGATGGAGAGTGCCCAACAGCAATCTTGTACTGAACTGTACCTCAGTACGAATGGCGTACATGCATCGTAGAGTTTGCTTTTGTGAAATACATACTCATGATATGCTTTTTTTCCCAAAGGTTGCATTAATTTTATAAATCGGGCTGAAGTTGCGCTTCTATGAGGCTTCACCTTCCAGTCTTTCTAATCTTGCATTCTTAATCGGTTTAAGAGTGCCCCTGTGCGAACACTTAATCGAGAACATAACCAGCTTGGCTTCACAACTAACACAATTACACTAAGATGCGGTACGAGAACATACGACGAGCTAGTAATGTACGCCGATTGCAAGCTCCCGCGACTTTTGTGCTGTAGTGATATATCAATTAAAAGCAGATTAGTTATGAGCGAAAATTAATCAAAACTAAACGAGTTTCTGAAAGTTAAAGTTTCTTTCAATTTGAAACTTGTGATCTTCAGTTTCAAGAACTGATCCTGAATGATCAAGTCGAGCTGCAGAGTATTAGTTTTTGATCTGCTGAGTGATTAGGTCTTGTTTGTTCCCATATGAAATCTTTTTCCTGCTATCTCGTGATGGACTCAATGGTCTGTATCAATTGCTAAGATTTATTATTAATTCAAAAAGCTGTGGTGATTTCCTCATATTGTGAGCTACCCGAGCCTACGAAACCATCTCGTAATAAAGAAATTATATAGTTTTTTAAACATTGCGTGCCCAAGTGCGTATTGTTTCGAAATCAGTAGCAAACGGTATTCTAAGCTTTTTATAACTTGCTCGGAGCTTTAAAAAGGACGTTCGTCCTAAAGAACTTTGTATGGCGCGTCCTTAGCACTAGTGGCGTTGCCCTAATTGGTTGCGAATACTTATTCAGCAGAGGTTTGTGGTTGATTCAGTTAGTTATAGGTTGTTATCTCATTTAGTGCGTGAGATAACAAGATATATCGGGAAATCTCCAAACAAGAATGGGGAACATAACCTTAGGTGCACTTGGAAAAGACACGAAGGGTTGCCATTGCAAAGCACGAATGTTCAAAGTTTTCGCTTGCAGAGCAACAAAGTGACAACCGAAGTACGCAAATATTCCAAGATTTTAGGGCTTGGATATGATTGTAGCGGAAGGACCTCTGATAAAAGCTC